GCTCTCTGAGTGCTGTCTAGTTATCATATACTCTAAAGGAAGAGTACAACAATGACAACAATACAGTTATACAAAGTAGTACTGTGAAACAATGAACAATGCAGTTTAACTAGAGTACAGCCAGATCTTAATCAGTGTCATGATGACACCACCAGTCAAAAAAAAAAAAAACATAGTGGAACAAAGGCTTGTGAATCAGCTAGATGTGTTCCTCCTCATTTACAGACATTTAATAGCTCTTCTCACAGCGCTACAGTGGATGAAGAACACTTTCTTTAGCGTAGGAAGTGAATGTTCCAGACTTTAGCTGTGGCCAAACAAATTGTACAATGAGCACCATATACTGGTTAAATAATCTTTCAACCCCATGCTCTGCAACTATGCTGAGAGACATTTGTTCAGCAGTACACTGCAGTGGTGTTGGTGTGAAACGCCAAGGCTATTGGAATAAAATAAATAACCTGGACTCTCATAAGCAAAGAAAACTTGTAGGAAATTGAATTTTAGATACTACCCTTATTACTGTTGTCGTAACAAAAGCAATTTAAGCTTAATGGCTTGTAAAGCCCTGTAGGCCTGTACACAATGCATAACCTCCACTGCACATTTCTCAACACACATTCTGAAAATTTTTTGGCTTGATAATGAGGATGAACCACTGACCTACTTGCAACTCTTTGATACGTTTAACACATTTAGGACAAAAACCACCATTCTGAGGGGTACACTGCAGTTTTGTTTGTGTGCGGTCACCAAAATGGCAAAAGAAAGATGTGAAATAGTGAAGCAACAGAACTTTTGCTTAGCATCTGAGCTTGTGCAACAGTGGCATTTTCTAACAAGACTCTTCACAGTTGACAAAGTGGATGGACAGTTTTGTCCTGTATACTTCAGCTGACTGCACCGTACAGTTTGAAGCTTCCCCATGGATCATTTATTGCTAGCATGTTTAATCCATTTCAAGTACTGCAGTTGTTCCCCTGGGACATTTCCCTAAAAATACGTATAGGTCCTCTTTTTCCCCTACTTTCCCCAACCTGAAATATCTAACTAAAACCAACCTTGAGTCATTCACACAAATCTAAACCAAATTTATTTTAGGAGCATTTTCACAGTCAATCTGCCTCACACCTACCATTAGTCTATTGAAGGACTA